AGCGATTCGTGAACATAGCTGCGAAACGTGCTCAATTGAGGTAGCTCATCAAAGTTGGCAAGTGAATATCCGTTCGCTTGAAGTAGTTATTCGATGCTCTTCGGAGTTTCATATTCCACAAAGCCGACTTGAAAGGATTCATCATAGCGTGGTGCTTCCGCAAGAAATCTTCGGAAAGGCGCGCGAAGAATTGATCCCAAAGACCACGAACATCCGCGGAGCTGGGTATACCAGAATCGTGACGAAAAGTTGGCGTAGTTGGTACGGCATGCTAAACGTAGCTGCTTCCGTTAAGCAGGAGATCCACTCGTTATCGTTTTCTAAGTAGCCAGCCTCCCGTGCGGCAATTTGGTGTGTACGACAGACGGCCCCGTTAACAGTTCTCGAATCCTCGAAGGATGTAGAGCCTCTTCGATTAGGATTCCACGAAGGTCTGCGGTAACATGGTGACTACGGATCGAATTTTCCAGGCTCGGTCGGTCTTCGCACGAGGATCCTGGTTGTTATTGAAGTGGAGATTGCGCGTTATCTCTAAAAATCTGTCTCGTGCCAAATACTTCCCGAAACCCCCGTGAAATCGCGCCGATATCATCTTGACGCCAGTGATTGGTCATCTTCTCACGATTTGGCATAACGGTCCTGGCGACCAAGAGCCCAATGTATACACACAGTTCATGTGGTAAAATCGGCTTGACTGCGAAAAAATGTTGCCGAACATCTCGTCGAGTCTTCGTCTTCTTTGTTGGAGTTACAGTTTTTCCAGCAGCCTTAGCACGTCTCTCTCTCGATGTCTTCTTTTCGAAGTACGTATCCACTCGATTATCCAGTTGCTCATGCGTGTAGACATTGCTGCACTCGGCAATGTGCTGCCACATGGCCACAGGCATAAATAGGAAAACAGAGAAATTGGAGAACCCCCCTCTCTTCAGTGCCGCATCTGTAGGTCCGTGTTCAATCTTCAGTAGGTCTGGGTACTCTTGTTATCGCCTACCGGGGTGTACGGTGTTTCCAGGAATTTCTCCACATCCGGCGTATCGATTTCATGCCACCCAGTTGTTGAGTATTCCTTCAGTGCAGGTCCAAGAATTTCACCTGCTAAAACTTGTTCTTCGCCGCCCATAGACTCTAAGAAATGGTCTGCAAAGTGACGCTCTTCATTGTCAAAGGCCTCTTCATCATCCCCGTCAACAGTATCAACAACTGCGACTTCAGAATCACTTCCATCCAGATCATTCAAGTCGTCTTCTTCAGATTCATCTCCCGAGTCCAGAACTTGGTAGTTGCAATCGTCATCTCGGCAATTGTTGGCTTCATCAGCGTTGTTACCAGATAAATCAATCACTAATGCATACAATACAGCATATGATACAAGTTAGTTGCAATATTTGTACAGTATATACAGCGTAGCCGAACAACATACGTTGCGTAGTGTCATGTCCTGTGTTGTTGCTTTCCGCACTTCTTGATGAATCTGCTTGCTCCGGTTCATCGTCACCCCTCCTGGTTGGACTTCTTTTCTTCTTATTCTTTGCAGGTGCATTTTCAGTTGTGTGAGCAGGTGAAGCTTGGTTTGTATAGGGTTCAACATAGTTCAGCACGGAAAATAGGATGCAGTGTCAGATGCACACAATAGCATGAATCGACAAAATGAAAAAAAATTCGTGCAACATACCTGTTGGTGACGTCAGATTTGGTGACGAAAATGTTGGTTGTGGTCGAACCTGGGATGCGCTTGCCGGAGACGCACTTGTAGTCAAGTCTGTATTATACAGCATAACAAATCAGGATATACAGCATAGCAAATACAGGTTAATGATAAGTCGATGCAGTGTAACCAAGTCGTGTGGGTCATCATGCACAGATGACCCTGCCAAGCATGGAGGTGTCTTGCCCGAAAGCGCCGA